GCTCATTCATATCCTCCCATCACAAAGAAGACAGAAGAGTTGGAGGAGAACATTTCTTTATAAAATGTCCCCAATTCCTCTCTGCCATGAACTCCCTGCAGCATCCTACCTGCTCTCACTTTACCTTCGCCTTTTCTAGCTTGCTAATCTTCTCTAACAAAACCTCTTCTTCCTTTCTTTTATCTTCTTCATACCAAACCACATTTTCCTCTTCTACAGACTCAAGTTTTTCTCTTTTCTCTTCCCTTTCTCCACACTCAATTTCCATCCAAATTCAATGGAGACCTGAAACAGGACAATACCAGCTATCTTGCACCTCAAAAACTTCAAACCTACCATACCCAATTTCTAAATTCTTGTGGGTTCCTTCTCTTTCAAGAAAATTTTTTTTCTCCCCTTTTTTGATTTCCCCATACACCCATTTTGCTGAGAAACACATTAATGGAGACAGAGGAAACAAGGGAGCAACACTCTGGTTTTGCATCTTTCTCTTCTCCATCTTCACGTAGTGCTAACGTTGTGCCTCTAGATTGGTCTCCAGATCGACGAATTACTAGACCGCTGCATTGTCTTCGTTGGTTGGAGAACAGAGGTGCAGCCGCGGTGGCCAGCTGCAGCTTCAGCGTGGAACGGCTGAAGTTCGTTGACAATGCAGGAAGTGAGTGGAAGAACGTGGAGGAGCGCTTCCACCAGATTGTGACCACAAGGTACGGCGGGCGTGAATCCGTCGTTAAATGGTCCGATTTCGGGACTTGCATAGGTATGAAATTTACGTTTCCGATTAGAAACATCAACATGTTAGAGACTTGGCTTGTGATGATGCCAAGTGCCATGCCATGCTATGACCCATGTCAACGTTAGGCACCGAACAGTTAATATTATTTTGTGTTTGGGTCGTTATAGGAATGGGAGAATCTCCAGAATTTGCAAAGCAGCTATTAAGTGCACTAAGAGGGGAAAGAAAGTGGAAATTTGATATCACTAAAGATGAACTTCATAAGCATTGGTGTCGGATGACAGACCCCTGCTTCAATTCAAGGACACAATTATTCTTTGACATGTAATTATCTCTTTGAAAATTGCAAATTCAATCATGTTCGACAAATATTGTCGATGAATTATTTTAAAAATTTTAAAGTAGTAACATGCATTTTGATTCCTAGGTGTGACGGAGACATGGATGGAAGAGTCACAAAAATGGATATAAAGCAGCTAATCCTACTGAGTGCCTCCACAAACAAGTTACTAGTTAGACATGAAGAAGCTGAATTATATGCTGGTCTAGTCATTCAACTTCTTGATATTGAAAAGCTAGGTTATATTCAGGTAAATAAATATCTTTTCATTCAAATTTCTAATAGGGTCCGTTAGTAACACATTTTATTTAGAAATTACAGTTACTTTTATTAATGATATTTCATTAATTTTAGTGTTTAGACTATATTTCTTTTACAAACAAATAAATAAATAATATTACTTAAGAAAAGTTATCAATAAATATAGTAATAACTTTTTTAATATAAAATTTAACTTACATCTTGAGCTTTTGCTGCCTTGGTTCGGGTGTGCTTAATTTTTGATCTCAACCAAAGTTCAAATTGCAATAGCAATCCTTATTTTCCCTTGTTCAAATATATATATATATATATATATATAATCCAACTTGCATATGACTGGTCCTTTGTACTTAGTGATATTAGTCACATTGAAAAAAAAAATATATGCACTCTTTCCTCCTTTTGGCTTAAGTTTGGTTACATTCTGTGTAAACATGTTCAAATATATATATAATCCAACTTAAAAAATATTTTTTTAATTAATAAAATAAAAAATTATTATACAATTTAAATTATAAATTAAAACTATTAAATAAAAGACGAAACCTCGTGGCATTGAGATCCTTCCCCAATCTAACTATTTATGTTTTGCAATGTAATGTAGTACGGACTACAAAACCAGATGCTTCTGATAAAACCTTTTCAATTTTTTTGGTTTAATGACATTTTTGGTCTCTAAACTTTCTAATTGGATACCAAAATAGTCCCTAATCTTTTTTTGGAGAGGCCGACGGTGTGACTGTTTCTATTTTCAGGCACCTCAACTGCAAACTCTGTTCAAGTTGAGCTTACCTCCGGCAGCCTCCGCTGCTACTCCATATCGAAATGCCACCGAGAAAGAGCCGATGTTAAAGGCGGAAATCTTGTTCCGGTCGCAGTGGAGGCGAGCATGGGTAGTTCTGTTCTGGTTGGCTATTTGTCTTGCGCTATTCGTATGGAAATTCATCCAGTACAGCCACAGAACGGCGTTCCAAGTCATGGGCTACTGTCTCTCCACCGCAAAGGGCTCCGCAGAGACCCTCAAGTTCAACATGGCTGTAATTCTCCTCCCCGTTTGCCGGAACACCATCACTTGGCTTCGCCGGCACCGTGGGATCAGCTCTGTTTTTCCCTTCAATGACAACATCAACTTTCACAAGGTAATTTCATCTTCAACTGAATTTCCCGAACGGGTTTTGCCCCCAAATGTGGTAAAATGAATAGGCCCGAAATAAATTGATTATCTTTTTGATGCAGTTGATTGCAGGAGGGATTGTGGTGGGAGTTATCCTCCATGGGGGAACTCATCTTGCTTGTGATTTTCCGAGGATTAGTGATTCCGACAGGTCGATTTTCCGGCAAACTATTGCCGCTAGATTCGGGTACCATCAACCATCCTACACCCAAATATTAGCCACCACTGAGGTTGCAACAGGGATTGCTATCGTGGTATTGATGGCAATAGCATTTTCTCTGGCAACAAAGTGGCCTCGCCGGCAATCACCTTCACTTCCAAGGTCTGTCCGGAATGTCATTGGGTACAATACATTTTGGTACTCACACCACCTCTTCATTCTTGTGTATGCTTTGCTCATTGTTCACTCCATGTTCCTCTTCTTGACTGATAAGGCAACTGAAAAAACGGTAAGCAGTATTTCTGCTATGATAGTAGTTAGGGTCAATGGCATAACTTTATATGTTTTTCTTGTGTTTACCATATGCTTTTTCTTTATCCTATAATGTGGGTCTTGGATTTAAGAGAAGGCTCCTGAATCTGATTGATAAAGTAAATTGTTAGAGTATTACTTCTTAGATTTTTGCTAGTTAGTATGTGATTTTTTAATGTAATTTTAATGTTAAGAATCTTGTATGTAGACATGGATGTACATTGCTATTCCAGTCTTGTTATATGCTGGAGAGAGGATTTTTCGAGCCATTAGATCAGGGTCTTCTGACATGGAAATTCTGAAGGTAAATCTAAATCCTTTTCTGGAAAAAGCACTGAACTAGAAAGTAAAGTATACAGCTTTTTGATGCAAGGAGAGATGGTGTTTATCAGATCATCCTAATCATTATCAGGCTCTAAGTTTTATTGTTGTTTCTAAATCAAAATATAGGTGAGCTTATATCAAGGAAAAGTGTTGTCCCTCAAATGTCAGAAACCAGAAGGTTTCAGGCACAAGAGTGGCATGTACATTTTCATCCAATGTCCTCAAATTTCACCATTTGAATGGTAAATACTAAATAAATGCTACTTTGAAGTTATTTTGAGTTAATATGTGTGTCCTAGAAACCTTTAATCACTTTATTTTGCTTAATGATAGCCTACTGTTTTTTTTATCTATAAATCTTTTCATTTCAAGCCCAGGATTATATTATGTTCTTCTTCTTCTTCTTCTTCTTTTCGTTCTTCTCCATTTTATTTCAGGCACCCTTTCTCCTTAACTTCTGGACCTAAAGATGATTTCTTAAGTGTGCATATCAGAAGTCTTGGAGACTGGAGTTATCAGCTATATAGCATCTTCCAAGAGGTAAACCATGAGTTGATTAAGAGATACCTCTAGTTCTGCATTTGAGTTGAGCATGAACAAATATTGTGATACTTTTTCTCTGGATTTTCCAGGCAATTTTAGCTGGAGCAAAGCAGTATCCAAAAGTATACATTGATGGACCTTATGGTGCTGCTTCTCAAGATCATGTCAAGTACGATATCATTGTAATGATTGGCCTTGGAATAGGAGCCACTCCCTTCATTAGCATCCTCAAAGATATTGTGAGTGGTCTCGGGAAAACAAATATTTCTATTCATATTCTGCTCATCAGAAAAGTCAAGTTGCTGTTTGTTCTCAGGGTGATAAAGATTGTTTGCTGAACATTTATCAGGCTGCTTGTGAGAACTGCAGGATCACAAAAGGTCCATTAAAAGCCTATCTTTATTGGGTTACAAGAGAGCAGAGCTCATTTGATTGGTTCAAGGATGTGATGAAGGAAATAGCAGAAACAAAACAAAAGCAGGTAAATGCCAACAATTTAGTACTTCAAAGATGTAAAAGAGTAAGCACATTAAATGAATTCTGCTTAAATATATCCTGGTGTTCCATACAATGTTATAATTCAATTTCTATCTCTAGTCATTCTAACTGCTTGTGCTTCAATAGTCTGTTATAGAGGTATTCAACTTCTTAAGCAGCATATATCAAGAGGGTGACGCTCGGTCAGCACTAATCAGTGTTATTCAAGCCCTCTATCTTGCCAACTATGGAATCGACATTCTCTCGCAGACACCGGTGAGTATGGAGCCAGTTGGGTAGTTCAGGTTGATGGACAGGACAATTAGTTGTACTACACGCACATATGCTTTTTGTGCCCATCTTTTGGTAGAAGGCATTAACTAGATTGGTTATTCCTTCGTTAAAAGATAAATAAATTCTGTAACCTTAAGTGAACAAATTTTCAGGTGCGCACTCATTTTGGTCGACCAAATTGGTTCAATATCTTCTCGAAATTGGCTCAAAGACACAGAGGAGCACGAATTGGTGAGAAACCTTACTTGAGTACTTTATTTAAATTATTATTACCTGACATTTCTCTTTCAAACAAGTACAAAGCAGCAGAGTGCTATTTCTACAGAGCATACTACCATCTCCCTTTACTTTTCGAGATACCTTCTTATGAGCCTTAAAATAATTAAAACCGGCAGATTTTTCAAAAACACAAAAGGCGCCACATTTGCTTCTAAGAGGTTTCGTTTGTAGATAACAAAATGCAATGGTGTGTTGATTTGTTTATGTTGTTTCAAAATCAAGGCTCCGTGTGTTATTTAATCTGCTCTCTCACCATCATGTGTGTTTTGCAATGAATAGGGGTATTCTACTGTGGGCCATTCGCATTAGCAAGAGATTTGGAGAAGTTATGTACCAAATTCTCAACCCAAACAACTACTAGATTTGTTTTTCACAAGGAGAATTATTAAGCATGGTCTCCAATGGCGTGCTCACTATGGTGAAGTTTGTTCCGGGGATTGGGCTATTGGCTATCTGGTTTCTTATTCAAGCCAGCTTTATTCTAATTACAAAGTTGTAAACTTTTTGAGCGAAGTAAAACCTTGAAAAATTATTTGTATCAGTTGCATATTCACAGAATATAAACTTCTGCTGCCAATGTACAAGATTTTTTTTGTTTCTTTCACACTGCCAACATACAATATGTTATGCCGCAAGCTTATTATTACTTCCCTTAATTAGCTGAATCTGCGCTGGTCACACTGTCACAGGAATAAAAAATCCAGTACAATATGGAAAACATCCCAGATGCTTTAATTTCTCACATATAAAAAGGTTGAATACGGTAAGATATGTTGATATCTGTTGTTTTTATCATATTTTGCTTTAATTTTTGGCGTTCTGATCTGACATTTTGTTTTCTGAGTTTTGAAACCGGGTGTGGACTGTGTGGTTGTAAAAATTTCTCATATTTATGGGAAAAGATTTCTCATATTTATAGGAAAACCCAAAAGGATGGAGGTTTTTGTTAATTCATGGTTTGAGGCTGAATAAGGACCACTGTTGAAAGTGAATTCTTATTTTTGCATCTTAAAATTGTATTACTGCATTGATGTTAACATCGCTGTAAGTATGATAGTAGGTGTTAGGCATTTAACAAAGTAAATTATACCATAGTCTGCTCTCGTCTACAAAGGCCTCAACTTCTTGCTTTCTTATTTAATCTGCTTCTCTTTCAGTTGTAAGTGTCAATTCTCTATAGAACTTATGCAATGGTTTGTTCTTTAACTTGTTAATGGGGTTGCTGCTGGGAGAGTGGAAGGTTGATGTCTAATATGATGTGCAGCACTGGGAAACCTTATCTGATTCAGAGAAACACTTCAGAAGCTATGTACTGGCATTTTTTTCTGCATTTGATGGGATAGTTTTGGAGAACTTGGCTGCAAAGGTTTCTGAATGATATTCAAATTCCAGAGGTGAATATTCTGGGATCTCCTTAAAAATGTTTTTAGTTCTCTAATTCCATTTCATCTTTTTATTTTTTCCTATTTACCTTTTTTTGTTCATTATTTTCTGAATTTGGGAGCGTTCAGCTTCTTGCAATTTATAGCAATTCATCTTAAAGGGCATTTCTTCTGGGATTTCATGGTTTTAAGGAACTGATCCATGTTATCGTTATTATAGACTTGAGTATCCCATATATGAGGTTAGTTTTTAATTCTTAAAAGATTTCTATTAGTTGGACTAATGTCCTTAAAATTGCTAATCATGCTTTATATCATTTTTTTTAAGGGCCAGTATTTTGCTTTGGCTCCTTCAAGTCCATTATCTAACATTAAGGTTTCACACTTCAGGCTTGAGCATTCTACAAGGTTTCAAATTGCAATGGAGAACGTTCACTCTGGTAGAGCTTCTATCTTGACATGGTCATTCACTGGCTCACCATCCAATCGGCAAGGCCATCCATTTGGCATGACTGAAAAAGGCATCCTTGATACAATAAAATAGAAAAATATTCTTGTTCCATTCACCCTTGCTGGCCTCAGAGTTTGAGGCCTAATATAGCTCATCTCCTCTTCGGCTTCTAAACAAAACCCAGTCTGTCTCGAATGTTTTTAGTTAACTATTAAGAATTGGGAACTTAAAATTTCAGCTGAGTTTGGGCCTGATAAGCATGTCTGACCTAAAAGTGGCTAAGCTAAGTCCAGGTTTGAATAATCTGGTTTTTTCTTTGGTGAGTAAGGGGGTCTCTTTGGCCTTGACACTAGATTGTTGCCCAACCTTGTCTGGCCTAAGTTCAGCTTTATTTGTTGGTAATGCTTCAAGGATTTTTCACTATAATGCATGACTAACTGATTGATGGGAGTATTTTCTGGTCTTCAATAATCAGAAATGTACGGCTTGCTTTTAGAGACTTATATCAGGGATTCAAAAGAAAAGCATAGATTATTCAGTGCTATCAAAAGCATTCCTTGTGTGGCTAAGAAGGCTAAGTGGGTTTTGGGTTGGATTCAAAGGTAGTATTGTATTTTAACTCCATACTTTTTAAAACTCAATTATGTTGCAGTTGAGGAATCTCTTAATGTGTTAATTAGGATTGAAGCAATGGTTGATAGTGTTATTTAATGATTTGAACTAGATGAGACATAGCACTTGAGCCAATTATCTTCTTGTTCTTGTTGTCAGTGGGAGAGGGGAGGGAGGAGTGGGTTGCATTTGTTGTGTATTGTCCTATTCTCTTTTCTTCTTTAATCTCTTAATGTTTGCAATTTGCATGCATTCTTTTACCATGTTTTCCTTTACTTCATTGAACACTGTACCGGCTTTATATCTTAACTGCAGAAACTTTCATGTGTACGCAGAAGAATTTGAAGTGAATAGAAAGTTTATGCTTGTATAGCTAAATCTTCTTGAAAACATTTCATTTCAAAAACTCCTATATTTTTTTAATCCCATTAAACATGTATACAGTAAATTAAAATATTGATCTTAGTGGATTTGACATTCACTTTTCTGATTAAATTCAGAAAAGTTAATTAATTAAATATTTTCTCTGTGTGTCCTCTTCAGTTCCACTTCATTTGCAGAAAGACTGGTTGCTTTTGCATGTGTTGAAGGAATCCTGTTTTCAGGAAGTAATTATTTTCTCATCATAGTCCACAGGCTCTTCCATTTGACATGTTAAATATATGCCTTGTGCTTTTCTGTGGTAAGATTTGCCTCATCCATTTTTGGTATTTTACCCAATCTAAGTAAATGTATATTTGTGATTCACAGCTTCTGTGCATCTTCTGGAATTAAAAAAAGAAAAAAGGAAAAAAAAAAAAAGAGAGGATTGATGCTGGGTTTGATGTTTCCAAATGCTCTAAATATCTAGAGATGAGGGCCTCCACTGACTTTGCTTGCCTTCTCTACAGGCAAAATTTTCTGTTTGGGATGATTTCCCCTCTTTCCAATTTAACTTCCTCATTTGAACAAGAGGAATACTGCCTCTAGTTCTGCTGTTTTATTTTTCATTGGCTTAATTAGGTTAGGCCTGGGTTTTCTCAAACTCAAAAGAAAGTATACAAGGGATACACTGTAACAATGTTCTTCCTTCCAGTTTGTTAAAGAAGCAGCTTTAATGTCAAAAGGTTGAGTGTATTGTTAATGAAGCAGTGGAAATTGAGTGGTTCAATGCCCTCCGCAGCTTTGCAGTGCAGTGACATCTGTTAATATTTGTTGTAAACTTATTTTCATTAAACCATGTGTACATGAATTGATTGGTTCAATGCCCTATTATAAAAGCAACATTAAATCAAACTTTTACCAGTTATTCCTATTAGTATACATATATATAGATTGACTATGAGGTTTCAATGTGTATCTAAAAATGTTCATTTGACTTTGCAGAGGGAAAGAAAGGTATTTGAGAGGAGGGTCGGTGATTATCAGAAAGCATCCGTTATGTCAAGCCGGAAAAAGTACAAATTCAAGCCGGACGAACATTTCTACTTTTCTAGATACCTTTTGTCGATTGCCTCAAGTGTCAATACAGATGCTGTAAGTGGGTATCAAATTTTTGTTACCATTCTTTGTAGTATCATTTTGTCGATAAAAATCAATTGGAAGGCTCCAAATCATTGTCTTAATTATTAAGTGTTTTATGTATGACAATACTGTAGTTATAATATTACATAAAATTATAAATTTATAATCATGATGTGATATTAAATGAGTATGATATGATATCAAATGAGTATAATATGATATTAAATGAGTAAATACATACAAAATTATGCATAAATTTTGAGTGAAAAAAATCAATTATATAATAACACATTATGTTGTAATTTGTAAACTTACAATATCACGTGACATTATACGTATATCAATTTTGTTTTATATATTATATCTTGTCCATCCCCAAAGAGTTAACTGGTACATTAATTGCCTTTTGAATTAAACCTACATTTATAAACCCAGCAAAAAAGTCAAAGTTTTGCTTGTTATGTTGACAACTATCTGAATATTGATATTAACTGTCCCAATATTGATATTAATTGGATTGTTATTGATCACATCATGCATTCGTCATGTTAAACAATTCTTCAATCCTCTCTGTCGTAGTTATCACTTACATGATTGATTATAATGTATCTATCTGTCTTTAGAGATTTGTTTGACTTTGAAGAGGAAAAACCAACATCTTCTCTAATCAGGGAGAGGACGGATGCATGAATTTACTCGAGTCAAGCTCACTCAAACTGGCAAAAATTCAGCTCAACTCAACTATTTTGCAACCCTGGGCCGACCTTGGTGAATGACTATCATCAGAAAGCATCAATGATCTCCAGCCTCCAAATTCTAAACATTTTTGTCTATATTTCACTCCAATTGAAATGACATTTAAGAAAGCACAATCAAGGTTTTAACTGGGGAATTTTGTATTTATATTATGCCGTCCTTAATTAGTAATATATATTTACAATAATTTCTTCTATCCCTTATCTGATGTTTTTTTAGTGCTTGTCTTGTCAACATTCAGAGTAGGTGTAACTTCTTTAAACTTTGTATCTGTTTATTTTTCTTCCCCAAGTTCATTTCATAACATCGGTATACAATTAGTTTTCTTAGCCTTCAATTGGAATTTAATTATATTTACCATCTTGCATTATGCAATACCCATTATTTCCTTCATTATTGACTTTTTGATACATAAAACATATTTTTATGGGCAGTTATGCGCAAACATCAACAATCTGGAATTTTTTTTTTGGGGGGGGGGGGGGGGGGGGGGGGGGGGGTTAATGATGTGAAACTAAAGTAACTTTGGGGTAAATTTATCCCAGAAGAAAAAAGCTAGCTAGCTTATGGAATGAAAAAGAAATGGAGGTTAGATTTTTTCTTTTTCTTTTTCCTTCAATGATGGTTAGATGATTCAAGTTTGCTATATTTAAATATGAGTATAAACAATGAGTTAAGTTGAAGTCATATAAGTAAGTTGGATAAAAAAAGATGAGCAAGTTACGTAATTAGTAACTCATAAAAAATATATTCTTTTTATATAATACTATCAAAATATTATAGATAAACTATGATAAGAAAAAACCATGTCACGTATATAATTCATTTTTCATTTATATTTTCAGATTCACTTTAGAAACCCGTCTTGACACTTTACAAAAAAGTTTAAATTAATCCTTCATCTCTTTCCTTATTATAAACAAGAAGTGTGGGGCTACCAATAATAATTTGAAACTTAACATAATACCTTGTATTTGATTATTCTAATCCCACTAATGGTGACTTT